TACAGGTGCGGATCTAGAGGCCAGATCCTTCATGATCTAAATTTTAAATTCGGGAGTACGGATAGGATTCGGCTAAAATTAATTCAAATATTTAAAAATAGAGTTATAAAAATATGTCTAACTTATGAGACATTATGTAAAAAACTTACAAGGTATTTCGAGAAGGAAAAAATATTGAACAAGAGGAGAATCCGAAAGGAGATAAAAGGAAAAGGACTGACATAGAAATTCTATATACAAGGTATTCCATTTTCTGCAATATCACCCTAGCTTTTGTTTTGTTTTAAAAATATTGTATCTGTCCCGAATTTCTCCATTGATTTTGGTCAAAGTACTAAAAATCGGTTGATCAGATCCGATACGGATCCCACCCCCACCTCTACACCCACGTCGTGTCGACACGGGTGCGGCACCGAAAGTGAAGAGTCTGAGCAACTTAGATGGTGGCTAAGCAATTTAGATATGTATGCTCGGCATTCCAAGAAAATGACATAATAGATGATGCCAACACAAAATTAAAAAATGATAATTGAAATAGAGAAGATCATTGGATTGAAATGAGCTTAAATGGAGCGACATGGATAGTAAGAATTCATATAATTGGCCCCTACTTGCTTGAGTTTGAGGCGTAGTAGTAATATTTATTGTAGTTGAAATGGAGAAGACATCTAACAATGTGAAAGGCAAGTTCTTTCAGAGAGCGTTGAGCGCTGCCGGAGCTTGGTTTGCCGTCGCCGTTGAAAGCAAGTCGCGGCATTGCCTTCCCAGTCCTGTCGTCGGCGACCGAAAGAGAACAGGTGAAGTAGTAAATTTTATTTGAATGCTTTCGGTTTTCTAAAATTACCTTGTTAATAACAATTTTCTGTGCTATTTTATTGCTGGAAAAATTGGAATTTGGAAATTATCAAGTCTGGTATTGTATCGATTCGAAGTTAGTCAATGTAAAATATCGCTAGTAATTTGATTGTTACAAAATATCTTGAGAGTTGGTCAGTTCTTTATATCTCTCTCGATAGTAAATTCAATGAATTTGAATTGTGATTTCTGAACTTTACTGTATTATTTCTATTTGTGAGTTGTTGAAATTAAGGTGGCTTAATTTGTAAGTTTTTAGTTGAGTGAGATTTATTTGTGAGCTGTGAATTATTTTTGAGTTGTAATTTAAGAAATCTATTTATGAGTTGTAAATTGAAGGAAATTCATTTCTGAGTTGTGAATACATTTGTGGATGATTAGAAGGACATTCTATTTGAAAGCATAATTAATAATGCGACCATTGATGATTTTCAAAACATGAGAACTCAAAGAATTTTTATGTTTTAGAATGATTAATGAGTGCATCATCAAATAAAAAATCAGGAGTTGCATTTCAGATTAATCATAATTCCGATTCAATTTGCAAATAAGATATTTTTATTTGATACTAATTCAAATATCACAGCTCAAGTCTCGTTACAAATCTAAGCTCATCAATTTAATTTATAGTTTGATTTCTCGTGAGAGTAAGAAAAACTTATGAATGTGACCATTTCATTAAAATGTTGTAGCTTGATTACGTTTGTTTCGAGCAGCGAGTATTACTTTGTTGTAATAACTACTTTATGGTCATATTATTAGAGGTCGTACTAGTTGAAATGGTGCAACTTTAGTTCCGTAAGAACTAAGAAGAATGGGGTGAAGTGAGTCAGAAAGGATTGTCAATTGTGGCGGCTAATCAATTTAGATATGTATGCTCTGCATTCCAAGAAAATGACATAATAGATGAAGCCAACACAGAAATAGAAAATGATAATTGAAATGGAGAAGATCATTGGACTGAGATGAGCTTAAATGGAGCGACATGGATAGTAAGAATTTATATAATTGACCCCTACTTGCCTGAGTTTGAGGTGTAGTAGTAGTAGTAGTAGTATTTGTTGTAGTTGAAATGGAGAAGATGTCTAACAATGTGAAAGGCAAGTTCTTTTCATTAAAAAAATGTGTAGGCAAGTCTATAGAAAGAGATCACGACTTCGAGCCGTGGAAGCAGCCACTAATGCTTGCATTAGGGTATGTTGTCTACATCACACCCTCGGGGGTGCGGCCCTTCCCTGGACCCTGTGTGAACGCGTGATGCTTTGTGCATTGGGCTGCCCTTTTTTTAGGCAAGTCTATAGACAGGTTGTGAGACCATCAATATTTTGCAGGTGCGAATGCTGGGGCCTCTAAGTCCAACATACTTCAAGATGATTATCATAGATATGTGGATAGATATGTGGATGTCAAGATGGATGTGCGATTATACAAAGATAGATTGTAAATGAGCAAATTCAATAGAGGGTGTAGCCAGCAGACATTGAAGAAAAATCGGGAGAGATTGCTTGAGGTGTAGATGGACTATCTTTTTAAACCTCCAATTGCACTATTTCGGACACTATGATGATAGGAGGTGCTAAAAGGAATCATTTTGGAATTAGTTAAGAATAGAAGAACACGGAGGAAACAAACGATCTATATAGGTATACCAACTAGATAGAATAACGGATTAGTTGTTATTGTTACACTTACATTAGGTCCCCTGTTTGCTAGTAATATTTTTCTAATAACTGATAGATCCCACAGGGCTAGTGGCACATAGTTCAAAACTGGATGGATGATGGGCTAGCCCCTCTACCGTCCTCCACTTAAATGCGTCCTGCTCATGTTGAATGCACCATGTATTTGAATTCTTCTAGGAATTTGTTGAATTATAATTAAGGCTTCAATTCGGTCGGAGAAAAGAAACTAGAAATATTTTCTTTCATGTAAGTAATTTGTTTTATCTATGTCATTTGGCAGTTGGAATGCTTCAAATCAAGTCCTCAAATCGCAGGTTAGAATGCTTTTGTACTTTGTAGTCTGGAGTCACACAAGTCAAAGCTCACTCCGACAAGTCACAGTTGGACCCAAACAATGTTTGCTACTCTTGCTGCCAATTGGTTCTTCAAAAAGCTCCAGCCTTTTCTGTGCTTCTCTATCAGTAGCCGTTCTTGGTTTAGCAGAAGTATTAGTAACCATGTACATTCCGTCACGCAATCCAAACAGCGGAGATCTGTCGGACAAGGTAATCGACCTGTGAGCAAGTCTACCAGATCTATTCAGAAACAAG